GGGTGCCACCTGGGGCTGGTCACTGGGAATGTCTGGCTCCTGGGATGAATCTTCTTCACAGAAGCCCAGGTTCAGAAATCCTGTGGGTGTTTCATCCAAGACGGACTCAGAGGAGGAGAGATTGCCAGGCAGGGGGTCAACAGAATTCCTGTTGAACGCAATGTCCTCTGCAACAGTGTTGATGACGTCAGCCATAAGAGCATCTCTTTCTGGGACTGTGTTGTCTGAACCGGGCATTGCCTCCAGGAAGGAGAGTCTGTGAGGCATGGTGTAGCTTCTACATCTTTTGCCTCTTTCCTCCACACCCTCCTCCTTAAAGTGACCCTTCCCAGCATGTGTACTGGTTGTAAATGCTGGTTCACTGGCTCTCTTCAAGGGGAGAGGGAGGCAAACAGGAACTGCAGGGCTGTTGGTTAACCAGGGCATCTGCTCTTGCTGATGGCTGTCCCCACCACTCAGCTGATATTTGAGAATGTTGCAAGTAGCTGTTACATGATTATCTTCTTGCCTGTGAGTTAGCGATGAAACAATCTCCTCACATGTATAGCCGATGGTGCACATGGTCTCCACGACCCTGGGAAGGATTTCTTTGGTGGCAGGCAGTACATGTTCTTGAATTGGGCCCAGCCATGCTGTTTCCACAAGCTGACAGATTGTGAATCGGTACCAGGTGGAGACCATGAGTAGTCGGGCAATGATGAAATAACAGGGTTTTGACAGATGGTAGGGAATGGGACACATTGTGGTGGTGATGACCCTGTGCATACCTTCAAGGGTTTCTTCCATGTATGGAAAGTGCCCTGTGACTAAGACATATAGAACAATACCCAAGCTCCACATGTCACCTGCCAGTCCATCATAGGGCTTTCTTGCCAAGATCTCTGGGGCCCAATAGAGCAAGGTGCCACAAATCTCCTCCAACATCTGCCCCTCTGTGATTTCAGTTGCCATGCCAAAGTCACAAAGCTTTGCATGTCCTCCTGCATCAACTAGGATGTTTTCTAATTTGATATCACGGTGTGCGATGTGTCTCTGGTGGAGGAAGTGAACCGCTGACACCACCTGCCGGAAAATCACTCTAGCCTCCTCCTCCTTTAGACAGCCCAGTGCCTGGAGGCAGCTCTCCAGATCTTCTCCTGCCACATACTCCATAATCAGGTAAGTGGTTGTCAGTGTGTCGATCATGTCAAAAAATCGAACGATGTTCCTGTGTTCTAAAGACTGAAGGATGTTCACTTCAGTACTGATGTCAGCCACACTGTTGGTGTTTTTCTCAAGGACCTTGACAGCCACTCGTGTATGTGTGGGAAGGTGGTAGGCCAGCTTCACCTCCCCGAAGGAACCACAACCTAGAGATGTTAACATCCTGAAATCCTTTTCAAGAATGTCCTCTTCCATGTGGCTGCCCATGGTGTTCTGCTCAATTTCAACCACGTTATCTTGTGGGCAATTTCAGACCCACACAATGCTAAAAGAAAAAGATTAATGCAGTTTTAGAAGGGGAGGACATAGCTTTGGATTCTCTGTTATGAAATTGAGATATCCCAAACAATCTAATGATGCTCTTCAAGGATATAAAAATACTAGAAGAACCCAAACACAAGGCAGTGGATGAGAAATCATAGGAAAGATCAGAGTTGGTATAAGTAAATTTGGTATGCAAAGGAAAATCCTGAGAATCCTGAAAGAATGATCTGCTCTGTTCACAGATGTGCCATGATGCAAACAAAGAGATATCAGATAAAAATAACACTATCGACAAATCGATGTTGTAACTAATACAACTACAGTCCAGATCGACTTTAGGATGTTACAGTATTTATACTCCAGAAAATTATAAAATATGAAAGGAATTCCTAGACATGTGTGAATATTGAGTTAATATAAAATAAAAACACTTAAACACATAAGTCATAAACACCTGTGTGGATTGGCAACAAAAACAGCTCCAAATAAGGCAGAGCCCAGATCTCATGTTTTCCCTGAATCATTCAAAGCTTTGCAGAAGAATGAAGACCAGGGTTATAGAAAATACTTCAAGAATGAAAAAGCAAAGGAACACACCCAAACTCATCCCTGTGCCAGTGTTAGCCTGATCCCACAACCAAGTAAGCTCAACAAATGAAGCAAGTGTGAGCTCCTTTCTTTGATGAATATAGATGTGAAAATCATTCATGAGAGTCCCTCATCTCAGCAACACACTAAAGCGCACTTTGTTCGTGGTCAGAATGGCAGAAGTAACATTTGTAACAAATGGAACAACAGCATAGCACATAAAGAGACTGTGGGAAGAATCCACATTCAGCACAGTGACTTTAGAACTGCTGTGTTATAAGGAAAGTAGCTAAACTAGATATAGTTTTTAGGAGACAAGGCAGGTCCACAAACAGAAACAGGATCTATGTTGTTTCTCCTGGTCACAGGAAGGAGAGGGCTAGGCTTGTGTAAAGTCACAGTATCAGTCACAAAGATATGGTGGGGGACTGACATAGTGCAGAGGAACATGATCAAAGAACAGCATAGGCATGTATGGAAATGTATCATGCAATTGCTTATGAAAATGTATATAAAAATTATCCCAAGATAACCCATACTCAGAATGATAAACATGGTATTTATTCACTCAAAAGTGGATAATAGATGCAAAGCAAAGGTTAACCAGATTACAACCCACAGCTCCAGAGAAGCTAGCTAACAATGAAGATGCCAAGAGAGAAAAATAGATAGGCCAATGAAGGAGAAATAGATGAGATCTACATGAGCAAACTGGGGGTGAGTTGGGGTAATGGAGGGCAAGGAATGGAGGATGAGAACATAAGGGAAGGGGGAGGGGGTTTGAGCTGGAAAAAGGACAGAGTGGGAGAGCAAGGAAAGAGATAACACAATAAAAGAAGTCATCATTGGAATAGAGAGAAACAGGGTGCTAGAGAAGTTCTCAGGAACCCACAAGGATGACCCCACCTTAGACAATTAGCAATAGTCAAGAGGGTGCCTGAACTGTCCTACTCCAGTAATCAGAACAGTGAATACCCTAACTGTCATCATAGAGCCTCCATACAGTAACTGATGGAAGCAGATGCAGATTTCCACAACCAAGGCCAGTCCAAGATCCAGGAGTCCAATCAATGACAGAGAGTAGGGATTCTATGAGCAAGGGACATTGAGATCATGATGGGAAAAAGTACAGAGACAACTAGCCAAACTAGAGGAAACACACGAACTGTGGACCAATAGCTGAGGAGCCCCCATGGGATGGGACTAAGTCCTCTGGATAGGCAAGACTGTTGTTTAGCTTGAATTGGCTAGGGTGTCCCCAGGCAGTGGGATTGGGATCCATGCCTGGTGCATAAGCAGGCTTTTTGGAACTCAGTGCCTATGGTGGGACACCTTGTCAGACTTAGTGCAGGGGAAGGGGCTTGGACCGGCCTCCTCTGAATATACCAGGCTCAGCTTACTCCCCATGGGAGACCTTGCCTTGAAGGAGGTGGGAATGGGGGGTGGGTTGGGATGAAGGCTCAGGAGTGGGAGGAGGGAGGACGGGGAAAACTGTGGTTGGTATGTAAAATGAAAAGAAAAATTTATAATAATAAAAATAAAATGAAATTCTCAAAGAACAAAAAATTAAATGTTTCTTCAAAAGTATTTACACATTAAAAAAGAAAAAAAAACAAAATTTAAATATAATCTAGTTGAATTTCATTATCCCATGTTTAGCTGCTATCCCTTGGGGCCTACTCTTTTCTCAAGGAAAACTGAGGAGCATTGGATCTGGTGGAGAGAGGAGGTGAGGGGCACCTGGGAGGAGTGGAGGGAGGGGAGGATGCAGTCAGGATGTAGTGTACAAAAGAAGAATAAATATAAAGAAAACCAAAAAACATAAATATAAATATGAAGCAGCAAATATAAATCTCAGGACCCAAAACAAACTGGAAATCAACTTGTCCAATCTCAACAACCAGCAGCAATGATCCGCAGTATTTCAGTAGTCCATAAAACGGAGGGAAGGTACACTTTCAAGCACATTTCATGAAAGAAATATTACCCCAATTTCCAAACCATATAAGACATTTCAAAAAGATCCTAGTATCAGCCAATACCCTTGACTGGCAGATAGGAAAAAAACCTGAATGAGAATAATTGATAGCTCACCTCAAATTCAACACCACATTAATAAGACCAGACTTCATGATCAAGATGTCTTTAACCAGGAACACTCAAGATTCGTAAATAGACACAAATTGCCAAAGGGCATAGCATACATACCACACTGAGGTAAGTCCTAAATCAGACATCAGTGGAATGGAATGCCTAATTCAGGAAAAACTTAAAATTAGTGAAAGTGTTACTACAAACATGCCAGTTCCACAAACACAAGTGTCACATTTTGTTCACTCCAGTACATGAGCAGGCAGGGGGATAGCCTTTGTATAAAGGGTCCAATTCAATGGGACTTTTCCCTTTGACAAAGTTCTTGTCCAATTCAATGGGTCTGGAAGTAAAATGTAGCAGATAAATATGATCAAAATAGAGTACAGCCAGATATCAGTCATGATCAAATTCCTCATCCTATGCATTTAATATATAACAATAAATTTGTAAAATACACAAGAACACTGCCAAAAATGACAAAGAAAAGAAGGTGATAGAAGGAAAATAATTTGAGATGAAGAAAAAGGAATTACAGAAAAAAAATACTACCCAAACCAATAATGTAAATAAAGAAATAATTAAATACAATTGACAAAATCCCAAACTGAGAACTTGGGAATCAAACTCACTATGTCCAGATCCAACAGGTAAGGGAAAAGGTCAAGTATATGGGAAACAACAGAGTCCAACTGCTCTCCCACCAACCAACAGATTTTCCGAAGTACAGACAAAACCCAGCCTCAGGCAGTGCCTTTTCATTGGCTAGTATCTAGCATACCTCACAAGGATTCTGTGTGATGTCACATTCTATGGACCAATCAAGGCTCAGAAAAAAACCACAGTGATTTTTTAAAATTATTTTCTGTTAAATTATTATTTTTTTTTCATTCACGTTCTTGTTCCCAAGGAAATGCCCTCAGCAGAGAGGGCTGCTATCCTTCCCAAACCCACTCTTGTTATTTTCCCAGAAGCCAAGACAGATTCATTGCTGTCACGCAGTCACACTAGGAACAAATCTCTCCCATCCACCCTGTGAATATAATCAATGAGCTCTTCAAGTAGCCTAAATTCCATATCCCAACCTCTGTCATGTAGCATAGGTCTCATATTAACCAAGCCTGCTTCTTGGTGTTGAAGCAACTCCGTTCCCCTCAGACACCATGAAGTTAATGGAGACACACTTTGTCTGGTGGGAATAAAACTCCTTCAGACATCCACAGAGTGTCCAGACCATCTTTACTAATGACCATTTGTCTGAAAGGAAGATCTGTCCATGCATCACTGTCCTTCTGTAAGCTCTGGCCATTCCCTCCTTCCCCTGATAAAAATAAAAATACATCCAAGAAGGAGGGAAATAATTAGTCAAAAGGAAAGTTAAAGTCTAGGAAACAAAACTAGACAAACACTCTGAAAGTACTGAGTATCAAGAAAGACTCATACAGTGACCAGGACAATTCACTGATGAATTCTATCATCTCAACATAAAACAGCAATGATCTCCAGATATTTCAGTATCCTATAAGTCTGAGGGAAAGAACACTTTCAAATTTTTCTCATCAAAGATGCATTACACTTATTCTCACACCAAGTAAATAAAACTTAAAAAGAGGCCAGTGTCAGGTGATATCCTGGACTAACAGATTATAAAAATCCTTAATGAGAGACAGCTCACACCAAATTCAACAACACATTAAGACCATACTTCATGATCACCCAGGAACATTAGGATTCGTCCACACATACAAATTGATGCAAAGCAGAACACACACACAACACTGAGTTAAGTCCTATAATCGGACATCAAAGGAATGAAATGCCTTTTTCAGGAAAACATTTGGAACTAGAGAGAGTGTTACTTCAAGTGTTCCAGTTCCACAAACACAACTGTCGCATTTTGTTTCCTAGGGATTCTGAACAAGCAGAGGGAAGAACCTTAGATCATTTGGAAGTACTTGTCACATTCAATGTGTGGGTAAGTGAAACAGAGCATGTAAATATGATCAAAATGCAAAATAGTCACGTTTGGGAAGTCATGGTCAAATTCCTCATGCTATAGAGATAATATATACCACTATATGTGTAAATTCCAAAAGAACAAAGGCAAAAATTATAAAGAAATTGATAAAAGGAAAATGAGGTAAAATAAGGAAAAAGCATTTACAGGCACAAATCAAAACCCAAACCAAAGATGTAAATAAAGCAATGAATAGATACCAAATAGATACAAAAGCCCAAACTGAAAGCCTGGGAAATATACTCACTAAGTCGAGATCCAACAGGCTTTGAAAAGTCCAAATTTAGCAGAAGCAACTGAATCCAACTGCTCTCCCACCAACCAACTGCTTCTTTGAAGTACAAAGACTAAACCCAGCCCTAGGTGGCGCCCTTTTATTGGCTGATATCTAGCTTACATCACTTGGACTCCATGTGATGTCACATGCAACTGTCCAATCAAGGCTTGGCAAAATCCATAGTGATTTTTAATTTTTTCTCTCACATTCTTGTGTCAAGCCACTCTACTACTAATTTTTTTTCCTGGTTATGATCTAATAGTTGGCAAAGATCTACTTACAGGAGGCAGGGTTTATTTAACTTCAGATATAGAAACAAAAGTCAACCCAATGGTAGGAAATAATGGCATGGACATCAGCAGAGTTGCCCCGTTGGTTTTATGGCATTTGTCATCTCAATATTCTTCTGACATTTCCTTGACCTATCCAAGTAGCACTAATGCAATCTCAAGCATGTGTCTCTAGTCAGAAGTGTCAAGTTAAATTTTAGGTGCCCTGGCAGATGCAGTCATCTGTGGTTCTTTCTTCTTGACTTTGTCAGAGTATCTGCATCTGAACAAGCCAATGTTCATGCCTGTCTATTGGACCACCTGACTCACACAAATTCAGTCAGTGTGATCCCCAGCCTCCTTGGTATTTGACTCTTCCATAAACTGTCCAGTGGGCCCCTGATAATAGTACTCTATGAATTGTGAATAAATGGAGTCCCTGTATTCACAAATCTAGTCTGCCTTGAAGACTGTCACAGGAAATTTCTCCACTAGGTTGACACATACCAACACCACATGTCTCTCATTTGAAATGGAACACCAGTCTTTCAGAAACAGGTCTTGGCCAGATGTCGTATCCTCTGTGGGTCCTCCCATCTACTATCACCTGGTCTCCATGTGGAAGAGTGGACTGTTCCCTTCCTTTCTCCACATTGCCTTTCTGGTTTCCTCTTTATATGGGTCCTGACTCCTTTGTGGATTCCAGTGCTCTTCCTTTCTTGCATGCCAAAGAATGAACTCCCCTTTTGTTACCCTGAACCTTTATACTCATCTTGTACCATGTAAATACTGTCTAAACTTCTATCCACACTGAGACTTCTCAGCTTTATAATTTTTATTTTTTAAGATTATAAATGTGAGTCTGGCATTATTACCTATTGTATTTAGGCTGCTGAGTTCCAAATTTCTTTTTACATTTTGATATCACACAAAATGAAGTATTTAATTTTTAATCAAACAGCTGTTGTATTCCAAACTGTGAAAATAGTGATGTTAAAGTTAAGTAATGCAAAAAATTCTTCTATTCAGAGCAGGTGGTGTCTAACACTGAGACAAGCTATTGGCCTGCAGCTCTCCTGAATCCTACTATGTCTGCTCTTTAATATTGATGATATCTCTTAAAAACAAGGAAGCTTAAAGCCTATCTGCCATTACATTTTTCATTTCAGATAATTTTTCTCACAGGGAACAGAGAAGTAAATGCTAAAAATGATGAACAACTATTTGTCCAGAAGTCAACGCAGTCCTTATATATACGAGCTGATATGTATTTTTGGATTCTGTTAGAATATTGGAATACTAGAACTGGAGAGGTGTGTTTTAAAGAAGTTTTAGGTTAAAGTGTGGAGTCTGAGTGTGGAAATGTCTTTGTTGTACCTTATGTCTCTCTCCACAGTACTTGTCCTTGTTACTATAAGAATTAAATTGAACATTGCTTACTTTAATAAATTTTGATCTAGAGTCAAAGCTATCTTTAGGGAGGTAATCTGTTCAGGTTTGTTTTCCACCATCAAGTATTTATTACATTTTAAAGAAAGAGCATGAGTTCTGAAGACTAGATAGTTATAGCAATAGTTTTCCATGCTAACAAATGCAGAAAAGAAACTCACAAAAGAGGTGTAAAGTGTACAAGTCTGAAAGACATCAAAAGACAGTTTTCGGTTGGTAATACAAGTTAGGGTAGGAAATGAATTAGATACAACATTTTGGACTCACTAAAATAGGATAAATAATGGAGCTCTTTGTCTGAATTTGTCAAATGTTAATGGAATGGACATTGTTAATGTAATTCTTGACTGTATGTATTGTATATACTTATTGTATATCATTTTTCTTATATTAGCTATAACCTCTTATTATTTTAGACAAAAATGTGAAAATGTGGTGATATATTGTGCACCCTAATAAAATTTACCTGAAGATCAGAGAACAGAACAAGCCACTAGATTAAACATAGATGCCAGACAGTGGTGGCACATACCTTTAATCCTAGCACTCCTAAGGCAGAGATCATCTGGATGTCTGTGAGTTCAAAGCCACCCTGGACTACATAAGATTGACTCAATCTAGGAGATAAACAGAGTCAAACAGTGGTGGCCTTTTTGGTTGAGGAAGCTCATTCAACCTGAATCCTATCAGCTGAGGACTTTTCATGCTGAGGAGTCCTAGAGGTAAGACCAGGCAATGGCTTGTTGCCTTGTCCCTCTGATCTTCTGACAAAGTTTAGTGTGGTTCACAATATATCATGAATGAGCCCATTTTAAAGAATTTCCACCTGGGCAGTGGTGGCTCATGCCTTTAATCCCAGCACTCAGGAGGCAAAAGCAGGTGGATCTCAGTGAGTTTGAGACCAGCCTGGTCTACAAAGCAAGTTCCAGCACAGTCAGGGCTGTTACACAAGGAAACCTTGTCTCAAAAAACAAAACGAAAGACAAAGACAATTTCCCTTCCTCTTATGACCAATTTTTTGTTACTTCAGATGCTTTAAAAAGAAAAATCCAACTTTTTCAGTTAATCACTGCAGAAACATAAACATGCTTAGGAAATGAAAGGAAAAATTTGTTTCTCCCATGAGGTCTCACAGGATACACAAAGGACACTGAAGGGTCCTATGCGCAGCAGTAGATGGAAACAAAAAATGAACTCAGCAGGGATTGATGACTTTTTCTATTTGTTTGTTTCCTATTCTGGATTACTTTTATTCACTTATTTATTTTGCATATCTGTGTGTTTTTAATGAGGGCAAGAGAAAAAATGTGTTTTGGGGTGGATAGGAAGGTGCAGGAGATCTGGGAGTAATGGGGGAAGGACAACCTGATAACAAAATGGTGCATGAAAAAAGTCTATTTTTCCATAAACAACAAAATTAAAAAATGAAATCAATGATATCTTGGAAGTTTTGGGGCTCATAATATTCTGTTTTTGCAATATTTGGCTTATACATCATTTGCTTAGACATGATGGTTTCCAATTATATATTTTACATTTTTTTATTTTTCCTTTTTATTGATGGAAAATATCTTTTTTTCTTACATGATATATCCTAATTACAGTTTCCCTACTCTGTTCTTCTCCATGTTCCTCCCCATCACTCCTCCTGCTCAGATCTAACTCCATTCTATCTCTCATTAGCAAACAATCAGGCTTCTAAGGAATATTTATAAAATATAATATATAATATAATATAGCAGTATATCAAACAAAAACTAGCACATCAGAATAGTACAAATCTACCACACAAGAGGAAAATTGCCCAAGAGAGCACACAAAAACAGATGTAAACACAGAGACCCACTTGTTCACGCTCTCAGGAATCTCATAAAACCACTAAATGAGTAGCCATAATTCATACACAAAATACATAATAAAATACAAAAGAGAAAAAATGAGAAGCCTGACAGGACATTATGACACAAGGATGCTCCAAAGAAACCATTGAGTTTCTTTTCTGTTGGCAATCTAGTGTTAGTTTTGTATCCTATACTTAGAAGGAGCTTTT